TTATTTTAATCGTGATGATATGAAAGCAGCTGTTACGAAAAATCCATGTTAAGTACACGCTTCCTATACATATTTCGCGATCTATATTCATTCGTGGAATTGTTGTTACATCGCTAATGATGTTTCTCCTTTCTGCCGCGTCTTGGTGATAAATCCTAGTCTTGGAGTATATTGGAGCACTGAGTATTCGAGATGATTTCTCTTGATATTTTTCAGGCGCGATGAGTTCAAGTCGCACGAAACGATGTCTTTCAGTTTCTTTGAAAATTAATTTTTCGGATCACGTTTGATTTACTCACGCATCACGGAATCGAATCGCTCGTTCTCGACGTGGCCCCGTTCGGGCCGTTGTGTGTCGTCACATACCGCTGCTAGGGAGACCACTTCCGGGCACGCATATGCCACCGTCGCTGCTCTGACTGACGCTACTATAGCTCACATTACTCGCTTGTCCTCCCGTTGCCATTCCGGAGATATACTGAAACAAAAGAATTACAATTAATGTTTTTATCACGTTAATTGTTCGCCATTTTAAGAATGATTCATCGTGATAAGAATCGAAGTATTACCAATTAACAATTAAGTTTTACACATTTTATAATATATAAACTTGTTATATTCTCCTTCATTTCTCTAGAAATATACATACATACATATACATACATATACATACATATACATACATATACATACGTGTATCTTTCGATTGGGACAAAAATAGATTTTCGATAACTAACAAAGCAAAGTGAATTTACACAGATAGAATTTTTTGCATTCGGCTGTTCGTGCTTTATCATTACAATGTACTCTATATTCCAATAACACACATTTTTTTGTCTGTTTACTCTTAAAAATTAACGTGTCCGCCATTCGCGAGTGCTTAGTGCGTGAGAAATAAAAAGCTATAGATTATCATCGATATTTATGGTAGTACGAATTTGTAATAATTTAATTTGTGAGAAAACGACTCGATACACAAATCCAGATATGTCTCACAATAAATCTCACCGTTCCATTTCTACTTTTATTTTACCGAGTAGAAGTTTTCAATTCGTAATCGTTAAGTTTGTATTATATTTTCTTACAGATTCTGCGTTTGTTTTCTATGGAAACCGAACACTTTAATTTATTCGACGGGACAACCAGCTCTCCTGTCGTCGTCCTAGGGACAATCGATCCATCGGCTTCGCCTCAAACGCAACCAATCTCTCCGCGCTCGTTGCTTCCCTTTAAAGGTCGCCACGGATCAGCGACAAGCTTTACACTTCACGCTCATACCCCGTGTACACATGGCTTTGCGCCGAATCGTGCGAATAGTGCGGTCGAAGAGACAACCCCAGCTGAATAGGGAGAGGGTCTAAGTGGTTAAACGGTTTTTCGATAGCTCTTGGCTGTAAAGCAAATCATTCAATATTCGGTCAGCCGTGAAAAAAATGCCACCGCAAATGCGGACGAGTCGAGTTCAAATTTATAGTTTACCGACAAAGTGAATAAAATGGTCAAAATGGATGGACCTTATATACACCAACATTCGTATTTATATATTTTTCAGACTGCTCGCCTTTAGATAAGTAACGTAATTAGTCGATAATCGATATTTTCATGAATGTAATCGGTATTGCTAAAAATAATTTGTTAAACAAAATTTATTATATATTTCGTTCTTGAATTTGAGAAAAAAATTTACAGATTTAGGTGTTACGTAAATCTAAGAATAATTCACAAAGAAAGTACAGTTTCATATGCTTGCTTTAATACTTTCGTCCTGTCATCCTGCCACATGGGATAGTGACCGTATCAGAGTTTTCTCGTTTGTTCTATCGGGTGTTGAATTCCCCAAGGTTAGATGATGCTCCTTATTTTTGTCTTCTCCCACTTTTATCCGATATATCCCGTGTGTCCGCGATTCTTCTTCTGGTAACCGCGAAACTAAAAGTATCTATGTAGGTTATTGGAGATAGCACGAGGTCGCACGTTTATTTTAGATTTTTCAAATGCGGACATATATCAATTTTACTTTATATCCATGATATAATATCTTGTCTTTTGGTATGTGTAATTACGCGAGTACCGGATGATTTATGATCGCTACACGTTTATCACCATCATCAATTCCTTATACTCTCGTATACGTTGCATAAATGTAACTTCTGACAATCAAAATATTCTATAAAGACATTTAAAATTTTAAATTATGTGTTTGCATTCCAGTTGCTTTTTTTTTATTGTATGTAGAAATATGAAAATTTGGTAGTTAAGTTAGTAGTTTGAAAAGCTGAACGTTTTATAGAATTACGAGCGTTTCTAATATCTGCACTTGAATTCTTTATATCATCAAACTTTTACATATTTCAAACAGCACGCTTCATGGTTCTTGATCACAAGTGAATTTTTCAGAGGTAATTTATTCGAAATATAAATATATGAAATCTTGCACGAAATATCCACGAGATTTTGTGTAATGAAATAGATAAAATAATTTTTGGGTTCGTCGGCTTTCATATCACAGGGAAACCTTACAAAATCGAAAGGAAAATAAATATGCGCGTATATTTTGTTTTCCATTAAAATTCCGATTTGTTATTCAAACTATATTTTGCTGTTAGCTGAAAGTTACGGTTATGAAATTTGCGACTGTTTACGCGTTTGCAGTTATTTTTATGTTTACAAAAGTTTGAAAAATCTTTCATATTCGCGACAGCAGTATTAAATAAAATTACAAGATGCCCAACGCATTGACATAGTTCTGTTATTATAACTGTTAATACTTATATCAGATTAGAGTTTTGATTGATCAAATTCAATCTTAATCTCAATCTCAATTTCTAATTTTATATTTATATTCGGAAGAAATAACTATTCTGTAAACCGAAATTAAAAATACAAGACATCACCTTTCAAGAAAACTACCAGAAGTGAATACCCGAGAACAAGAAAAGTATCTATAGATCAAGAAAGTGCATCCTTAGATAATGAATAGTGCCGGGTGCAGGTGCAAATATTTAAAATCAAATGTCACATTTACTAGTAAAAACATACCGAGAATTTATATTCTATAAGAATACGTTGATGTTCGTTGATGCTCGTTGATCTTTGATATATAAGGGTTTTGGAAAACGGATAGAGGATCATGATTACTTGGAAATACCAATAGTTAAACTATATACTGCTTTGTCTATATTGCATTAAGGACGAAGGATAAGCGATAAACAGAAATAAAGAAAAGGTCTCGAGGGATTCCACGATCAGCGATCGATGACCAGCTCGCGATGATATTCCGTTGTTAAATGTAGGTTTGCTCGCCGGAATTTTCTCGACTTCCCCGTACGTGATGAAGGGAATACGCGGAGTAGTATCGTCCGGATGCGAATTTCTGAAAAAAGCAATATACTGGATACGTTCCCTAGTAGTTAGCATTGATAGTATCCTGTCGTCGGAATTATTAATAAGATTGTGACGTGTGACGCCTCGTTCCTTTCAGCATTCCTATTGACGCTTATTTATCGAAAGTATAAAATATACATTTCTATTATATTATTACGTCAGCACATATTAAACAGAATATAGGTGACGTATCCTAAACATTTTAATAAGAAATTGCTAATAAATATCATGCGGTAGTTATATTATACAAAACTATATGGAGGGAATGGTTTGTTAACAATATAATTCACCGCACTTTTTACTGTGAAATTGCAAGTACGTGCTATATATTTAAGTACAGCTATGTTGTAATATCTATTACGATTAACTTGGACATTGTTTATTTCTCTTTTCCGAATTTTTTTATCTTTCCTTAGTAAACTAATTTGAATAATGCACTAACAAAATTTTTAATATTTGATGTGCACATTCCTTTAATTGGTTTAATACTTAATTAAGTCATAATAAGGGTTCATGCGTACAATTAGTTGCATTTTTACTAAAAATGTAGAATTTCCTCGATATTTCTTGAAGCAAATTGTAAGATAATTATATTCAATTACATTATACTTTTCGTTTGAATCAAAATGCCTGTTTCGTTTTTTTCAGCACACATTTTTAGTATTGTTTTTATTTGTAAATAAAATGCCTTTATAATTTAAATTGTTTATGCAAGGGTAATTAATGAGGGACATTAACACTAGATGTGTATGAATTTAGGCAAGATTGTTCTACCAGTAAATAGAAATGGACCCAAATTAACAATTACTTTTAGGGCTATGCTATTCAACATTCTAATTGTTGCTTTAAATTAATATTCATTCAAAAAGCAATAAATGTATATATATATATATATATATATATATATATATAAAACATAATTTAAACTCACCTGACTTGGTTTACATCTAAATGCTGGCTGATATCGTCGTTTCATTTTTCTGGGACAACAATAACACAGAATTCTTACGAAAGCTCTGAAACAAAAAAATATGATATGTCTTACAACGTCAATTACATTGCGAACGGTGTGATGATATTATGATAGAAAATATTTATTTGTATGATTTTTATATTTTCTTTGTATAACCATGAATCATCCTGCATCCTGCAAATTAATATCTTAATCAAATTTGCGCTATACGCCGCGGCGACGTAGACAAGTGTTACGTTATGCAATGTCACGACGCAATGTCGTGACGCCAAATGTGACTTTTAACATCAAGATTGCATGATTGCTATATTTTTTCAAGTATCGTGTATAATATATTTGCATAAAGTCTATCGATGAAAATGTAATACATGTAATGCTCGTATGTGTATTGCCTCATTTCGATAGTATAAAAGAATTCAAAATCTTTTTTAACCTATTAAAAAATTTTTTAATACCTGATTTTAGATAGAGAGAGTCTCGTTGTTAATAATTCAATTTTTAATTATTTTAAAAAACATACACAAATACACAAATACATATCATTTTTGTATAATGCACACATTTGTATATCGATGGTATAATGGATAAGTAGTCCACGTCGCACTAAATGGATGATAAACAGATTATCTTTCTAATGATTGCACGAACGTGGTATTATGTGATATTTGCATTCTTTGCTCCATCTATGGTATTACGTTTTTGCGAATTGAGTATCCGAGTAGTACATTACTCGGCACCGGTGCATCGCTGTATTTCGAAGTAGTTGTTGATGCAATACGCGTAACGACTAATTGTAAGTGCAATAGTTCACTTATGTACAATAGACAACATGAATAATACTAAATTTGACTTTCATTTACTGCAAGATTATTCACGTTGCGTATTTTTTATTACGCTAATGTTTATTACTTTCGTTATGATGGTATCGTCACAACGTAGAACCGATCAATCTATTATTTCGAAGAATTTTACGGAACGCCAAAATCAATGTAACAAAGCATTAAATTATTTAATACCTTGTACGGTGACATTTATCGAAGAATATTTCGAATATTCGGAACAAATCTCATTTTTACTACCTGATGTGCTACAAGATGTTTCCGATGTCGCAGAACTGTTGATGAACGAATTACATGTGACAAGCGTTATTTACACATTAAACGTCAGTCTGAATGATATGGAAATATACGATACTTTGACAAATGTTGTTATTCTGTTAGAGAACGGAATCTCTTTCGAAACGAACAATTCCTCCTTTGTCAATCATTGTGAGTACAATTGCGATTTTATAGTAGTGCTGACGAATCTGTTCGCCGATGAAGAGAGCTTCCTGATAGAAGCTGGTACGCTAGTACAACAAATGTCACTGCGATCGATTTTTAAGCTCCAGATATTGGCGTCAGTCGGAGATTCGGTTCTGCGCGCTAGTAGCCTTTCGATTCGGACCAACGATTCGTACGCACTTGCCGAACCAGCACTTTCAGGCAGATGTGAACAGAAAGCTTATGTTGCAATTCGATGGCAGAATTTCATAAATAAAACAGAATCATTATTCAGTGCTAATATCTTGAATGTGGCAATGTTCGATAATTTTCCATTCGCGTCTCTCAAGAATGACACTAATCATTTGAGATTCGGTGGAGTAGAAGGTTCAATGGTGGAAGAAATTGCAAATAACTTGAACATCAAGCTGAACAGAGAGCTGATTGAATCGGCACATGGAATTCCATTGAATACAGAGATATATCTGAGACTTCATAACGCGACTAATGATTTAATGTTTGGTGGTATCTTGTGGAATTCAAGCCGAAAAATGACATATACCACTTGTTATGGTATGGTGCAAATTTCGTGGATGATACCGATAGAAACAAATGTTTCTTTACGTGGTTTGATAGCTCCATTCAGCATGAATATTTGGTGTGCTATATTTTGCGTTCTAATTATTGGTGGACTCGTAAAACTATTTTTTATTCGTGAAATTACATTTTTGGATATCATAGCATTGATTTTCAATGTAGCAGTGTCTCAGCCGAAAAGAGTTTCCAGCAGAATTCAATTTATATCTTGGGCTTTGTTCGGTTTTTTTCTCACGCAACTATATCTAGGATCGTTAGCTGATTATCTAATTAGTACATCGGATATGCAGATAGAGACTACGGAGGAGTTAGCTAAGTCAGGATTTATGATAGGTGGGACTCAGCAATTCGCGAATTTGTTACAAACGTCTGATAATGATGACAGGCAAGATAACTTTAAACAAATAATTAAGAATTTTTGTCTTTTGAACCATCATGAATATATTAATCAGTTTGTGGAGATTGCGGAGGGAAGAAATGATACTTTAGCTCTTCTCGTAATGTTGAACTTGACAAATTATCACCGCAATATAGGATACGGTCATATTACAAAAGACACTCTGGGCAGTTATCCATTGGCCTTCGTCACCCGGCAAGGTTTTCCATACTTGAAAGAATTTAATTTCAGGATCCAAATACTCGTTCAAGTTGGTCTTGTGGAATATTGGTCAAACATGGCAACATTGCGACAAAGTTATTCCAACAAGGAAAAGGAAAACAATTCCAAACTTGAACTCGACGATATCGCACCAGCTTTCTTTCTTTTGATCATGGGATATCTTGGTGGATTCTGCCTGCTAATTATAGAAGTTATTTTTTATCCATCCAAATTGTTGTCATAAATTCATTTTCTAACGCTTTTATATAAATAGATAACTTGTCTGAATTATATCTTGCGATTATTGTACACTTTTAATTCTAAACACATGAATATATCTTATTAATTATTGCATATGAGTCTCTTCTTTATCCAACATTTCTGTTCAGTAAATTCGTACGATGCGATGCCATTCTTGCAATTTTGATGGAATACTGGAACATCATAATTTATTACTTATTATATGATGTGTAGCGAGCTTGGAAAATGCAATTCGAGAATATATATGCTCGAAATACACTTTTCATCTTATTAAAAAATAAAACTTCCAGTAAAAAAGTTTAATCTTGCATTTTTTATGTTTACTCTTTCGTTTACTACATTTTAGATCATGTTATGACATTCAGTATGTCTGTAGAATATCTCAAGTCCATTATACCTCTTTTTTATTTATCTATTTATCTTTTTTTAAACCAGACGTTTTTATAAAAGGTTCATATATCTATGTCTTATCAAAACTTCAGAATCCGACATTAAGTAGCTTTGAAACGTGCCATACATTTTATAATAAGACTATCTCGGTTGAACGAAAAAAAAAGTAATATAATTTCATTTATCCATACATTATTTCATAATAAATATTTTATTTTAATTGCACATTATGAGACGATATTGCTAATGTTCGATAGTTTTAAGGATAATATTTTTATCACATATTCGCTGAAATTTCTTCTCGGTTATACGATAACTATCCTGTCTCATTAACTGTTCATAATAAGTCTATTGAGATTCCGTGGAATATTTAACTAACGTCTCCTAGATAAAATAGCCCTGCGGCGAGTTAATTAGAAAAGTTTCCGGCTAATTTCATTAAACCTCTCTCTGTTTATCTTGTTCAAGAAATAAAACTTAAAAAGCAAAATGTCGATTTTAAAATTTACGTAATAACATTATTAGTGTGATGTATTAAATTGGTGTAAACAATTTTCATGTCTATTGAATAAAATTCATAATAGTTACAATGAAGTCGAAATGAAATTATTACCAATGACTTCATGTAGCAATGATAGTTTTGATAAAGAAAATATTTTTATAAGTATTTACGTTTCGAAAAATTTGAAAATATTATTTTTTACTTTACTATTCCGTGTCGAATTTCGTATTTGATTAAATGTGATATCGCTTATCCTGCATACGATTGATCGTTATTGGATATTTTGATAGAATTTAGTTTTAAAGAATACGTTTTTTAAATGAAAATATTATAGACAACAATATTATTAACATTATTGCATTCTAAAATTTTAATATTATGTATTTTTACAGTGGTAATGTTATAGAAATGTTAAATGCTTTCAGATTAGTCTAATTAAAAATTAATTATACGTTAAACAACAATGTTAATAACATTATTTAAAAATAAATTGTGTTGCTTATATATAAAATTTCAATTTCGATCGCAATTTTTTATTATTAGTCAATTTAGTATTCGATACAAGCACGAATTAATATATTGTTCTTAAGTTAGCAAATTAATATTTAAATATATTATTGCGCATTTTTCTGAATTTTATAGTCTTAGCAATAAGATATTACATAAAATCTCTAGCATAAGTATACAATAAAATATATAATTTTTGTAATTTTCAATCAATAAAATAGAAATAATACAAAAGTATATGTGTAACGTCAATTTCTATTTTCTTCGTATATTAGTGTTCAAAGTCACTCTTTTGATTAATACGGAAAAGCAATAGGAAGGAAAGAAGACAAGTTAATTCTATCTTTTTTATATCTATCATATTATACGATCGATCATACGATCGGATTACGGTACGACGTTATTCTATGGACTTTTGTGCGAGCGAAAAAGTCAAAGAGCAAGATGGCATCGTTAATCAGAGAAAATCCAAGCGTGATTTCCGGTCATCGGGTCAATATATCAGCGACAAAACGAACCAAACTGCAGACGAAAGGTACGCTATACTATCGTATACCCGATTGGCGCGAATACTCGTGTAATCAGCTATTGGCGTTGAGTTTACGTTCTAATGACAGTGAAGCGTTCTGTCGAAATGCAATCTGAAGCGCGCGACATACCATACCGGAAATAGAGGTCACGATATCATAATGAATATCAGCGTAACTTATTAACAAACCTTCGACTATTTTATTGTATTTTTCAGCGATTTTATTCTAATGAAATGGCTATTCTATAATGAAATTAATTACTTAGATGCTAATATGTATAATGATCTATAATTTAATGTACATTATTTTATAAGCAATATTTAAGTAAAAACACATTCAAATACTTTGGATATTTAATTCATAGATAGTACTAGTGAACAATTTTTTAAGAATTGT